AGGAGGTGGTGGAGGAGGCGGGAGCATTTGTTCAGGTATATGGGATGGCTCATTCTTTTCAGCCAGCACCATTTTTTCCTCTGGAGACCCTTTTAGAATCACCTCCTCCCCTCCAAATGCTTTGGAGATGATGTCAGGAGGCAAGAGGAGATCAGATGAAGACTCTTTAACCACTGGCAGAGGCTTAGCAGTGGTTCCAGAGGACTTGATGGATAGAAAAGTGTTAAGAGGAGCTGGCTTGCTGACTGTGGCTGACCCTGACTTGCGGAGCACTGTTGATGGGATAGGCAGGTTGGGTCGGATCTTAGTCTGGGTTGAAGTTGTCACAACAGGCATCCAAGGGCTAGTATGTGCAACAACAGTTTTCCCAGAGAGCTTGATTTTGATGGGCTTTGCCTTCCCAGCTTCAGCTTTGCTATCCTCTTTGTCCTTACTGCTTTCCACAATCTCTTCCTTGGGCATACTTTGGGCCACTGAACTTTTTTCCTCCTCTTTTTCTGGTTTCTTCCAGCTGAATTTCCCAAAAGATGAAGATGCTGGTGATTCTTTCTTTACTTCTTCTTTTAATTGGAGTTTGATGCTACTCTTCCTCTTGTTTTCATCCTTTTCAGGGGAGTTCCCATCCTCATAGAGCTGGTCCTCTAATTCCTCAGAGACCTTGTCATCTTCCTTTATGTCTTTCATAATCTTTGCCTTTTTTTCTTTCTTCTCTTCCTTTGGTTTCTCAGTAAGTTTGCGTTTTAGCTCACTCTGACGTCGCCTTTCTGTCTCTAGGACCACAGCCAAGCCAGCTTGGCGGTCCAGATTCCGCCGCTCCTCATACAACGGGTTTTCGACCACATATTTCTGGGAAGAGAAAAGATAAAGGCTCAACAACTGGTCAAAATACTACAAGAGAGAAAATATTGGCCCCACCAATCCCCAGAAGTCATCTCTCTCAAGGATATAGATGGTTCTATCAGGACAGCATCTCTCACTAGGATTGAGAACTTCCTAGCAATCATATGGAATTTGTAGTGTTAATGACTTTTTCTGGTTGTCAACTTGTTTGACAAAGTCAAAAGGATTACTGCAGAAAGTGGGAAACCCCACAGGCTACTACAAGAACCAACCTTATATTTCTCATTGTGTTGGTGACCCTTCACATGTTGCTCTCCAGAAATTGAATCCCCCAAAAATTCCTCACAGAGCTGGCAGTAATATCCAGTGATGGGAATCAGAAACTCAGAGCCTGGAAGTGGAAGAAAATCAAGAAAATAAGTTATTTCCACCCAGGATGACAGCAACCAAAGGAAATCCCACTTTCCCTTTGTAGTAAAATGGCTAATGGTATAGAGGACCTTACCCACTTTTGAGTCAGAAGTAGCATTTAGATAAATTTCAATGGCATAGTCTTCCCAACCTAAAGCCTGAACTCAGGATCTATGCCTTCTACCTCTTGGGAACACTGACTGGTACATTCAGGAGTTTCCTGTGCCAGACTCATTTCTGTTGCCAATTCTCCTCAAACTCCAACTAGCACTAAGTATTTTAGGAGATTTTAAAACTATACTCCCAAATAGCCCAGTACTATTTGTATGAGGGTCTCTCATGTTCGTATTAATTACTCAGGAACCATCTATCTTCTTCAGATCTATAGGATGTAGCAGCACTGACTACTTATGAAGGTAAGAAACTGAGAAGTTTAAAGACAAAGAAACTTTCTACTTCTCAATTTACCCCCTTAATAACAACTATTCAAAAATATTTCTTAGTTGAAAAGGCAGTTAAATTACTGCACCGTTTTTGGGTTTTAAAACTGTATTTCAAATAAATAAGACTTTAGTGCATAAGCCAGTGTCAAAGAAAATTCTGTTTTTAAGTGGTATACATGTTTAATATCTGTTAGATTTTTGGCCATATGGATAGAGATCATTCTTGTCTTATACAGTTCTGTATTTCTTCAGGACCTAGTATTCTTACAGTTTTGTCAAAAAGTATTTATGTTTCACACTATGCTGCTTCCTAGCACCTTAGTTTAGGGATACCTCCTCCTTGGCTGAATATAAGGAAACCACAAAAATGGTAGGGAGGAAACATACCTTTTGCAGGAACAGTTATCTTGTCAGTGCGCTTTGTGGTATCTTGCTTGGCCTCACTCTGGGTCTTTAAAGCCCAAGGTCTGTTGTAGGGATCCAGTGTCTATTTGCAAGAGGCAGAGGCGCTCACACAACAGCACTAAAAACTCAATGACCCACTTTTCTTTTCTTTCTCCCCACACACCAGGGGGGACCAGAAGCCCCCAGCTACCCACCCCCACCCGCTCTGCCAAACGTTTAAACGGAAATCACCTGTGGAAAAGGTAAACACATGTTAGAGCAAGTACCAGCAATGGCTAAAATGAAACAAATAATCAGGTGCTCAAGGAATCAAAAGAGGCTGAAGCCTCACTTACACTTGTCATGGTGTTTAGTTACAGGCAGGTCCCCTGGACTGAGACCTGGGGATGGTGTCTCCTTTGCTGGTATCTCTTGGCTCTTCATATTGGGGCTCCTGCCCATATGAGAATGTTTCATTTGCCAGCTTTGTAATGCAGATGGGGGTATAGAAGTTTGAGGGGAAGGAGGGTGAGAGAAGCAGTAACAGAGGGCAGGGTACCTACCTGTGTGTGCTTCTTATTGTGCATATGGGTGAAGAAGTCAAACATGGTCCCACAGATGGTGTTGCAGTCCTTGCACCAGTGACTGCCAGCATCATAATACTCATAGGCAGCAATGGGCTGATCAGACTGCTTAGTAGCTGACTGGAGGCTCTCCACAGGCTTAGGGCTCTTAGTACGAGAATTCTCAATGTTTACCTTTGATTCCTACAAGGGAAAAAAACCTGCACTTAGAAGAAATTCAAGGCAGCCTAGATCTGTCTTCTCTCAGAAAAAGCAAGTAATGCTCTAGCCAGTATGTCTCAGTGGTTAGAGTGTTGGCCCGTGGACTGAAGGGTCCCAGGTTAGATTCTGGCCAAGGGAACATACTCATTGCAGCTTGATCCCTGGCCCTAGTGGGGGAGCATGCAGGAGGCAATCAATTGATGTTTCTCTTTCTCTCTCTCTCTCTCTCTGAAAAGCAATGGAAAAAATATCCTTGGATGTGGCTTAAAAAAAAAAGAAGAAAAAGCAAGTAACCTATCACAATTATAGAAATAGGCCTCTGTGATCATTTTTCCAGTACCCAAAGCTGCATAAACTGGAGAAAACTCCAAAGAAGTCTCTGTAAGGCTCAAACAGAACTAATTAGACTCCAGAGTACTATCTCCTCATGGGACTAAATCACAATGGCAACATATTTACTTATATATCCTACAATATCTAGAAGAATACTCAAGATTATCGAAATGCTGGCTGCCTCTGGGGAAGTGAAGTAGAGAACAGGAATAGATAAGGGTCTTTTTATTGTATACCCTTTGGTAGATGTTGAAAGTGTTACCTATGCAATTAAATACAACAGTGAAATTTAAAAATCATAATGAAAACTATGGAGGGAAGAAAAACCAAAGAAAAAAGGTAAATTTACAGGTTATGCAAATGCAGAGAATGGATGACAGTGAATTCACTTATCATAGAAACATACCGGTAAGGAACACTGGAGAGCAGGGATTATGATGTGCACAAAGCAGACAGTAGTCTATTTCTATTGATATTTTATACCACCAATTTAACACCTCTGAGTTAACATGAATCCTCTTTTAAAACATACCAACTCCCAAACATTAAGTTATCAATAATAAATACTTTAATATGAATTCATATGTCAGTTAGCTGAGAACAACACACTTAGGAAATAAGAATTTTGGTTAATGTTCAGGAGTGAGGAACAGAAAAGAGATAATTCTGGAACACAGAGTGGGTAAGTGTACATAAGGTTCTATAGTAGATAAGATCAGGGAGCTAGGCATCTATAATACTGACTGGTGGGAAATGGACAGGATAAAGGCTAATAATTAGCACATCAAAGATAATCTTTCCTTATTCAAGAGTCACTAAAGCCCAGCCGGAGTGGCTCAGTGGTTGAGAATCGACCCAGGTACCAAGAGGTCACAGGTGCGATTCTTGATCAGGGCACATGCCTGGGTTGCAGGCTCGATCCCCAGTAGGGGGCATGCAGGAGGCAGCCAATTGGTGTTTCTCTCTCATCGATGTTTCTATCTCTCCCTTTCCCTTCCTCTCTCTCTAAAAATAAAAAAAAAAAATCAATAAAAAGTGTTATTAAAGGAGTCTATTTATTGACATGAAAAGAAGTTCATTATATTCTGAGAAAAGTATGTAACAAAATACATTTGAATAATCAATAAAGATATGTGAATAGGCATAGAATATCAAATGTTACCTTATCCAAAAAACTTTCCCTAACTACTCTATATCCCTTATCCTATTTTCTTTGTTTAGGCACTTGTCATTACCTAACCTGAACTTATTTATTGTCTATCTTCTCCTATTTCATGAGAAGAAGGAACAAGAACCTTGTCTATACAGTTCCCTGCTATACTTCCCATATCCAGGATAGTGCCTGGCACTTTCTCAGAGATCAATAAATATTTCTTAAGTTAATGAACAGAAAAAGAGTATTGGAATAATATATAAGGTATTAATAACAGCTGTCTCTAGGTGAATGAAATGATGGAAATGTGTGTTTATTTTTATGAAATGAATAGAAAACAGAAAACCAAATATGCATTTTAAAGAGAGGCAAAGAAAGAAGAAATACCAAGAACAGGTAGAAAAGAGAGATTACAGACACAACGTTCCTTACTGCTGAAATGAAAACTGAATTGCAACATATTTCTGTTAGCTTCAGAGAACATGAAGACTCACTCAAATAAAGATGATAGACTATCATGGGTTGGTGTCTAAACAGAGCCCCAAATAATGTATAATTCAACTACAAAGAGCCAGAACTTTCAAGCTCTTCTCCCATTAAAGGTCATTGAACTCAATGACCCTGGTATAAAAGAGTATAGTGTTATCTGGTTGAGAAAGAGGACTCTCCAGGAAGATACGGAATAATGAGAGTTTGGTTGATAGAGAATACAGAATATCCTTTTCTCTATCCCCCAAACATGAACTGAGCATCTACTATATACTAGACATACTGGATGCTGTGGGAAACTCAAAGATAAAGTTATACTCTTTTATTCTCACAAAGCTCTCATTTACTGGAAGACAAGCATGAGAACAGACATGCTGTAAATCATGTTTTAAATATGATAGAATGAAATACACCTTATAAAGAAACAAAGTAATATATTGTAAGAGTATTAAAGAAGGGCTCACTAAATCTGGGTAGAACTCAGGAATTCTTCATGGAGAAGTAGTATTCAAGTTGGGCCTTAGAAGATGAGTGGGGTTGGGAAAAAGATTACTCCAGGCTAAGAGAATTATTAATGCAAAATTAGAGAGGCAAAATAGCATATTGCACATCTTGAAAAGTGCAAGCGTTCTGAGGTGGTAGGAGTCTAAGATGTAGTGTAATATTTATTGAGCACTACTCACTATGTGCCAGGCCCCGAGCTACATATTCGGGACTATATTGAAGAATAAGACAGTGCCTGTCCCTTGAACCTTAAAATCTAATTGGGGGAACACATGCAATTATATAACTGTCATAAATGCTAAGACAAAAAATTACAAGTACTGTGAATGTGTATCAGGCAATTTTAACAGTCTGGGAAATCAAGGAAGGGAGTTAGGGAAATAATTTAAGCTGCAACCTGAAGAATGAATATGAGTTAGTTACAAGGGATAAGGAAAGAGTGGGGTTTGCATGATAATCAGAGGGAAGAGAAGATGCAAAGACATTAGAGAGAATGATAGATTTGTGGAATAAAAAGGCCAGTAATGAAATTATAGTGAGTCATGGGGAAAAGATGCATAAAATGAGGCTGAAGAGGTACGCAAGGGAATATCATGATCAGTGGCTGTATGTGAAGAAAGAAATAGGAGTGTAGCAGTATAAGCAAGACTTGAAGGTGGCCTGAACTTGGATGGCAATGGAGATGGTGAGATGGATGAAATTGAGATCTATTTTGGAGGGAGAGCAGGTAGAATTTGGTATGGAGCAGTAAGGGAGAAGAAAGCACCAAGAATGCTTTTCAGATTGTTGTCATGAAAACTAGGACAGTAGTGCCATTCACTGAAATGGGTAATAACAGAGGAAGAAAAAGTTAGAAAGAAGTTGAGCACAATCATTAGTTTAGTTTAGGATATATTGATTTTGAGGTATCTATGAGACATTGAAGTAGAAATGGTGAGTAGTCTGTTGGATACTTGGGTTTGGACCTCAAAAGAATCAGTATAAAACTAGAAGGTGTCAGCATGGTATTTCAGCATAAAACTGAATAAAATTACCTAAGGAAAAGCAGAATTCTGGAGAACTAAGCTAGGACTGAGCCCTAACTAAAATAGTTAAAGATCAGGTACAAGAGAACAGGCAGGGAAGGAGACTAAGCAGCAGCAGCCAGCATGCTAGGAGAGAAAGAAGTGTGATAGCAGCCAAGGGAAGAAAGCATTTTTAAGAGTTAGTGACTCCCTGTATCAAATACAGTAAACCTTCGATTTTGCAGACCTCAATGTAATAGACTTCTGACTTAACAGACAAAATTTCTGGTCCATATGTCATAAGTGAAAATTAACACCTCGTTAATTTTAAAATGCTTTTAACCAAGATTTGCTTATAATTAAATTAACACGTTAAATTTTTTTGTTATTAATTCACTGTTATTTTTAACAAATTTTTGCGAATAGGCCATATGTTGGAAAAAACACTGTAGTAACTGCACTGGCATAAATAAATATTCCATATCTACAACTATAGTCTACATATTTAAATCCAAGAGTCACTGCTTATAAACAATGTTCGGTGAATGATTAGTACTTCATCACAAGGCATCTCGCCCACTAGGTAATTGGTTCTGTTGTTGCGTGGCATGATTTTCTGCAGCAGTTTTAACGTGTGCAGGCTGATGATGTTCCAACAGGAGCTAAGCCATGCCTCAGCAATGTGCATTTGTTTACTCTTGGTGACTGGTGAATGCATGCATTTACTAGACCTATTCAGTATAAATTTAAAATTATAGTAATATATATAGAAAACTTTTCTGTGAAATTAAACTTTCCAAACATACTTAATTTCAATTACACAAACCTGTCTACATAAGTAAAAACGGATAAACTAATTTGTCAATTTTTTAACATACGCATTTGGAAAACCTACTTTATTATATAACGGACTTCCGGCTTTAATGGAAACCCTCTCACCTGAATTAATCTATTACATTGAGATTTTATTGTACTGATTTGACAACTGAAATGTACAACATGACTTTGTTGCTAAACATGAACCCACAATATGGTATATATAAGTTATGATAACAGAAGCCAAAACTGGAGTAGGTTAAGGAGTAAATGCTAGAACAAGAACATGGAGTGCCCTGAATACTGAGGATTTGGGATTCTTTGTCCGCAATGGGGAACTGCTAAAATTCTGGAGAGTATCATGATCTGATCTATGCTTTACAAAAATCTAACAAGAGTAAGAACAGGTTGGAAAGGAAAACTAAGAAAACGGTTAGTTATAGAAAGCTTCTTTAGGAGTCCATGAAAATAAAAATATAATAAAAATGGAAAAGTTGAGTTTTCACCTTGTTGTTCGAAGAGGAGTTTAAGTACGATGACACTTTTTCTGGGCTCTTAGATTTTTCTGCTTTCCCAGGCTTCTCTGTAGGCTCCTTACTGTCACTTGAAGACTTCTGGGATTTATCCAAAATGTTAATTCCCAAGATTTGAGCCACTTTGTCCAGTTCAGATTGCTTCTTTTCGGCCTCTTCTGCCTCTTGTCGAAGTTCTGCGATGTCCTTCATAATGTTATCCTGAAGCCGACTCACTTCCACCAGGAGTGGGTCTTTGTGGCCATCCTTCTCCCTTCGTTTCTTGCGCAGCATTTCCCCTGAGCAATCAAATGTCAATGGAAAGAAACACAAGGAAAGTAAGTTAAGACAAATTATTTTTCAGTCATAAGTAGCAATCTCTCAAGATTTTATGGTCAAAAATCTTTCCCACAAAACTTTTTTTTTTAATCTTCACCAAAGGATATTTTTTTCCATTGCTTTTTAGAGAGAGAGGAAGGGGGGGGGGGGAGAGAGAGAGAAAGAGAGAGGGATATCAATGTGAGAGAGACACATTGATTGGTCACTTCCCACAGGCGCCCAGAATGTGGCCAGGGACTGGTGTCTGCAACCGAAGTACATGCCCTTGACCAGAATGGAACTTGAGACCCTTCAGTCAGCAGGTGAACACTCTGCCAAACACTGAGCCAAACTGGCTAAGCCTCCATAAAACTTTTAAAAACCAAGTGGAACTCTCTTTCCACCTGGGCTGGTTTAGTTGAAGCTTCTATGGAGGTAAAAGAGGAGTGATTACATTATCTTTCATACAGGGGTTATTAGCTAAGGATCTACAGACAGGCCTCAGGGGCCCCATGAATCCCCAAAATAGTATATATACATGTTGTGTGCATGTGTTCTCCAAAAAGATTAATAAATGTTTTAACTATGAATCCAGTGGCTGTCCTCTCCAGATCCAGAAATGCAAAGAATTATTCAGAGGATAAAAATTGGTAACATGTTCAACTTAGTCTGATTTAAGGACCCTTTACCAATGCCTACCACTGAGTTTTAAGTTTTGCCTTAGGCTCACTTAATGTTATCTCCTAACCAAATGGTAGGTCCTCATGAATTAATCCTCACAGGATTAGTAACTAAGATTCTTATCCCTAAATAGTTCAAACCCAAACAGGACAAATGATATCTTCTCCCACTCTGTTTTCCCACGCTATCACCAAGCTGTAGTATTTAGAAACCTTGTTATGTTCTTTCCTTGAGGTGTATGTTAATTCTTAAAAGTATAGGTGAAGAGAAGGAATCAAAAGAGGTATCCTGGACCCTGGCCGGTGTGGTTCAGTGGTGAGAACGCTAGCCCATGCACCAAAGGTCGGGGGTTCATGTACTTGGGTGGCAGGTTCAATCCCTGGCCCAGGTCGGGGTGTGTGCAGGAGGCAACCAATTGATGTCTCTCTCTCACGTCAATGTTTCTCTCTCTCTCTCCACCTCTCCCTCCCTCTCTCCTTCATTCACTACCTTCCACTCCCTCTAAAAATCAATGGAAAAAATATCCTCAGGTGAGGATTAACACACACACACACACACACACACACACACACACACAAAAAGAGGCATTATAGAACATCTTTTTAGGACAAAAAGTAAAGTACTCAAAAAATGATGGGGACATATCAGAACAACACAGGAGTCAACCTAAAGGAGTCCCACTGGCCAAATCTGGGACAATTTGAACATGAAAATAAATGACAGCATTTTATTACAATCTATTGAATGAAGAATCCATGAGTTCACAATGATATAAATGGATAGATAAATAAATGGAGGAGGAGAGGTAGGTGGGAAGCGCCTCCTTACAACAGAAAGTAAACTAATGAAGACAGAATAATGAAATTAGAAAATCACTATTTAACAACCATAACAACAAGTCATTCAGGCAAGAACATCAATGAATGCTAAAACTAGTAGGCAAAAGTTTGAGGAGCAACTGAATATTTATATAGTCTCAAAGTATCTCCCCTATAAGATACTTACTAATTAAAAAGGGTAAAATAGTAACTTTACAGTGGAGAAACCTGGCAGACACCACCTTAACCAAATGATCAAAGTTGGTATCACCAGTAATGGGACAAATCAACACTTGATATGAATTCAGCATCACCCTTCTGTGATGTTCCTGCCAAAAATTCATAATTTGAATTAAATAAAGACAAACCAAAATTAATGGACAGTCTACAAAATATGTGACTTCTCTTCTAAAATGTCAGTGTTGCCCTAGCGGGTTTTGCTCAGTGGTTAGAGCATCAGCCCACGGACTGAAGGGTCTCGGGTTTGATTCCGGTCAAGGGCATGTACCTCGCCTCAGCTGCAGGCTCAATCCCTGGCCCTGGTTGGGGCAACTGGGGGAGGTAGCCAACCAATGTCTCTCTCTCACACTGATGTTTCTCTGTCTCTGTCTGTCTCTATCTCTCCCTTCCACTCTCTCTGAAAAGCAGTGGAAAAGAATATCCTAGGGTGAGGATTAAAAAATAAAAATAAAATGTCAATGTCATGAAATAAAAAGATTCAGAAATTATTACATATTAAAGGAGACTAAAAGAGCATGACAACAGAACGCAATGCATAATCTTGCATTTTCTTTTGCTGTAGGACATTATTTAGACAACTGGTGAAATATGAGTATCAGTAGACTAGTACTACATTACTGTTCATTTCCTAATTTTGGTAAATGTACTATGGTCATGCAAATCAATTCTTTGTTGTTAGGAGATACATGCTGACTCAGGAAAAATTATACACACACACAGATTGAGAGAGGGGAAAAATAGGAATAGAGCAAATATAGCAAAATGCTAGTAATTATGAATACGTGAGAATTATTTACACTACAGTTGTAACTTTTCTATAAGCCTAATTATCTCAAAAAATTTTTACAGTGAAACTTCAGGCCACTCTTGTCTGAGAGTCCCCAGAGTTCTTGATTTGGGTCTCCTACTCAAGTTACTACAGTCATACAAAGGGGTGTCTGATACCTTGTTGTTTATGAAGTCGTTCCAACTCAGTCCTGAGATAGTACATTTTCTTCTGGCGAGCTTCCCTGTCACTCTTTAGCTTTTCCCTCTCTTCAATAACCTGCAAAGTACAAAACAGTAAGAAAGTGCTTCAGCGTCCAATATCTTCCATTTCCTATTGCACTCATCCATAAGCCCTCATGCTAGGTAGTATCTGAATGCAAGAATCTAAATATCTGTACACAGAAGCTCTGACTTTATAGTGAAGGTGATTTCATTCTGATTCAAGTTCCAGAACTGAATTATCCTTTCCAGAGCTACACTGCCCAAAAAGTATTATTTTTATACAGGAAGCACTACACTATTAATTTTAACTAATGCTACTGAGAGCAATTGTTAAGATAGTAGTTCTAAGCCCAAAGGGAACCATCAAGAAAGAAACTAAAATGTGTTATGGGTGAGGCACTGTGTTAGCTGCATTACATATGTCATTTTATTTCATTCTCATGACATTATCTCTGTTACAGTAAGAAGATTCAGGCTGTGAAAGATTAAGTAACATACCCAAGATGATATAGTAAGAGGATTTAAAATTCATGTATAAATGATCTAAAGCTCATAATCTTTCAATTGTATTACTACCACCTAATGGAAAAAACAAATATGGCTTGTCCATAATGGGCAAGTGTGAAAAACCTGTGTTATTATCAGCCCTGATATAAGTGCTAGGTCCTTAATGGGAAAGTGCTCAGTCTCCAAACAGTATCTCTTCAGTCTTGTCTTTTTTGAACCTACCCTTCTTTCCCAAAAGATTTCAACAAAATGGAACACTGAAGTTCAGGGAATCCAAGTACAGTGGAAAATTAAGCTAATTTTTTTGGTCTTCTCAAGGATTAGCTAAATTTCTTGTAAACTGGAAAAAAATGAGATTGGCTCTCCAATTTTTCCTTTTCTTGTTTTCTCCTCAGGTGTTATTTTATTAGCAAATCAAATCTATGCATATAACATTTTTACGTTCCTAAACAAAGTCAGTTAATATTATTAAGAACCTTTAAAATTAACAGTATGTATTAATTTTTCCATTTAAAATTCTTCTAATTAGTATTGCATGTCCCTACATAATTTTTACCTACTGCTCTAAAACATTTAGAATTATTGTATCTTTACCACAGCCACTGCTCCCTTCCAACAGCCTGGGAACCCAATGAGCCTTGATAGTATAAAAACTACTTTTTTTAAAAAAGTGTCATAAAAAGATACTCCATCAGACAACCCAATTTTGGTTCCTCACTCCCTGATGAGGTCATATTGAAGACTTCAAGGCTCATAGTGTTCTAAGGCAAATATTTTGAATAAAGAAAATAAACAAAATAGAAAAAAAGTAGTCTAGCAGTTACAGTGGGACCTAGGGCCAGACTTAGCTTAGTCTTAATAAAAAAACATGTGAGAAAAACAGGAGATATATACATTATTTAGGGTGATGACAGCAGTCTCCAAAGAACTTAAGAGGGTCTTAAATTTTTTCAGCTCCCTCTAAAAGACAAATGCAAATTTATGTTAAAATAAAAGACTCAGGCACAGGATCCCCAAAGCTAATATTCACCTTCAGCTTCTGGGAAGCACGATTCTTCTCATCAGAGATCTTTTCCGGATTATATCTTATGAGCGATGGGATGGTCACCTGGACAGGCAATTGTGCAGTAGGAATTGAGCCTAGCACTAACTCATCCTGTTTGGGCTCAGCAGGAGTCACAGTGGGGATCACACGAAGATTGGGACGGCTACGAGTAGCTTGTTTGGTAACTGGCATTACCCTGTGTGGGTCAGGTAGAGGGTGCTTTGATGGTTGTGAGGTGGAGTACATGGGCCACCTTGAGGCTGCATATGCCATGTAATGCCTATAGGCATCAAAGGAAGCAGGGGGAATGGCAGGACCCTGGTAGTTTGAAGGTATCCGAGCTGCAGCAAACTGAGAGGCTCTTGGCACATGAAACTGAGATAAAGAAGCAGTGTGTGGAAGTCTAACTGGGGCGGATGGGGCCGATGGCAACAGGCACCTGACTGCAACAGACGACTGAAACCCACTGCCAACCACCTCTGGTCCTGCAATATGACCCCCTGGATGGTCAGACTTTAGGAATGGGGGGCTGTTTTTTGTGAGCAGGTAAGGATCCACAGGGGAGACTGGATGTGGACGGGACACCTCCGGGGAGTGGGTATTGCTATGGTGTGCCTCCCTGCTCTCCAATTTGTGAGGATCTGAGGAATGTCGATCAGCTGAGAAACGGCGGTCAACTGAGGAACAGCGGTCAGTGGAGGAACGTGATGGCTTCTTGCCATGAAGTCGTTCCTGGGTGCGTGCAGCCAATTGACTAATCTCTGTTACCCCAATATCCAGGCCTATGGTCTTGAGCAAGTCATGAATCTTGGCATATTCTGGATTGGTCTCTTCTATTGATTCTAGCTTTACAGCTGGAACTGAAGATGGCAGGGAAGAGCTTGCTTTCTGCCTCAAAACTTCACTCTCGGAGCCCCCAAGGGGCTTCGGTGGAGATTCTGCCTTTAAATCCTCTTCTTCATCTCCATAGAGAAACTTCTCCTCATCCTCAATGTCAGGGAAGCTACGTCGCCTTTTCTCCTGTGTACTGGTAGAATCTGCCAACATGCTCAGAATGCGGGAAAAACCACTGCCATCCTGGCTAGCTCTCTCATGGGGCAGCAAGAAGTCTGTGTGCCGCTCAGGTCCCTCAGGCTTCATATCCAATTTCCCTTTGTGGCACAGAAAACTTCCAAACTTCTCTCGGAGAGGACTGTTGTCCTTGGTCATCCCAGGGAGGGGACCCCATTGGTAGAGGTTGCCCTGAGGTTCCTTCAGGGTAGTCTCTACCATAGTCCCCTTGTTGTTTTCAAGCTCTGAAGCAAAAGCATCAATAGCACCACTCAGTGGAACAGATGGGTGTCCAGAGTAGAGAGAATGATCCTGGCTGCAGCTGGTACTGCTGGAAAAACTCTCAAGCTGCAAAGACAAATACAACCAATTTGGCCTCTAAGCAGAAACTCAGAAAACTAGCAATTGAGCGAACTACTTAGTTACTTTGTTATTCTTGAATTAATAGGAGGAAGATAAGTATGGATGAAGGGGAGGTACAGTATCCTAGCCAAGTTCAAGATTTGGGTCCCCATCTCTCCAGATGTTTCTGCTATGGCAAAGAGAAATAGGAAAGAAGGCCAATTTGAATGAATCCTCCCTTCTGCTCATTTGTTGTTGTCCTTATCAAAGAATCTGAATAGAAAAGAACTTTAGAGATGTCCTAGCTTACTTGTTTTCTACGGATTCCAAAAGAAAGAAAAAAACACACATATAAAGGTAGAGCTGCTTTGGTTGAAGTGGAGTTAGGAAACTCTGAAACACTAACTGTCCAGCCTCCCCTTGCTTCCCTAAGTATCCTAAGTACCTCTTCAGAAACCTTTAGCTGTTAAAAGGACAGCTAAAAACTAGTGCTCATGCCTGACCATCTTTTCATAGGTGAGGAAAAAACATCAAGGCCCAGAATGGTGAGGTGAACTTGTCTAAAAATCACACAGCAAACTGGTGGCAGAGATGGGTCCAGAATCAGAATCACCTGATTTCTGGTCTAGTGTCTTACCACTCATTTATTTTGTTTTCTCTCTAAAGAGAGATGAGGAAAATTCAGATCATCTCCCTTTGCCTCAAGCTTCATTTCCAAGAAACTCATACTCAAAATTCCTACAGGGCTACCCAGTTTAGAGAAATAGATACAATGGATAGTCTCCAAAATGTCTGTTTAGAAAGCCTAATATATGACAGTAGAAGCGCTCTACTGATGCATTATGAGACATACAGTTAGTTTCCTTTGGGAGTCCTGGAAGGTGCAACTCATAGGCATAACAATGTTGGCCCAGTACATATTACAAAGATACCATTAGGGATAGAGCCCCAGATAAGTAACCAGGCTTTAAGGTATTAAAGGAACTAGCAAGAGACCATAGGAAGAAACACAGCAGAGACCTGCATAGAAGGTTCCATGTCCACCTCAATCCGCTTCTTCAGAATCGACTTCTTGGGCATCACAGATACCTCCTCAGGCCGATGTAAAGAATATGCTGGTTCTGATGCTGTTAGCACACCTGACAATCCAGGGATGGAACAGCTTGTGCCACCACCATCAACTCCCACCAGCTCCTGACTCAAGTTCCTACTTCGTTCCTCCTCTTCCTCTCGTTTTCGCCTGGCAAGGTCCAGCTCTCGAAACTCAGGGTCTAGAAACCTAGGGCCTGGGCTCTGTCTACGCTGTCGATAGTTGCGGGTCCCTGATGTAAAACTTGGGTGATCACTTCCCATGCTATGCGTCTTCTCTGTGTCATCATAACGGGGCCGTTTGGCCTCCCGGCTCCTTTCCTCAGGTCGTACAGAGTAGGAGCCTTTGAGTTTGTCTCTACTCCGTTCTGTTCCATGCAACATATCATCATGACAACTGATATGGGGACTATAATCAGAACGATGCAGGAAAGTTTCTCTTGTTCGGTAGTCCTCATCTAGCTGTCCCAAGAAGGGACTGAGAGGCCTCTCCTCCCGGGAAATATATCGTTCAAGACCTCGAGTGCTTTGGGAACTTCGAGTGAAGACAGAATCATCAGTCAAGTTATCCCTGAGGAAAGAGAAAAGACTTACTGAATACAATAGACTTGGAAAGAGCAAGACCAGACAAGGCTAAGAGACTGACATTCGATATGGATGCTATAGAATACTTAGGACAAAAGACAATAATCATGAAGTCCAAGAACAAATCACATGGAACATTTTCCTTCCCTTTCCCCTGGGGCAGACACAAGCAGCTTCAGCCTCAAAACAAGGGGAAATATTACTAATCTATATAGACAGACCTCTTAGGCTGATTTCTTTGACTAGACTTTGGTGGTAAAGTATCATGCTGGGGTTTGGCAGATGTGAAACCACCACTACGAAGAGCCCTGGGTTACGGACCTCTACAGTAGCTAAGTTCTAGCTCTTTGCTACTAAAAGTGTGGTCTGAATAAGCAGCATCAGTATTACCTCAGAACTTTTTATTTTTTAATTATTTTTTAATTTTTATTTTTTTAAAATATATCTTTATTGATTTCAGAGAGAGAGAGGGAGAGAGAGAGATGGAAACATCAATGATGAGACAGTTATTGATCCGCTGCCTCCTGCACGCCCCCGAATGGGGATCGAACCCACAACTTGGGCATGTGCCCTGACTGGGAATCGAACCCCGATCGCCTGGATCCGAGGTCGATGCTCAACTGCTGAGCCACGCCCGGCCAGGTACCTGAGAACTTTTTAGAAATACAAATTCTCAGGCTCCACTGAGGCCTACTAAATCAGAATCTGCATTTTAACAAGATCTCCATGTGATTTGTATGCACTTTAAAATTTGATAAACACAAGTTAAGATCACTGATTTTCAAGTTGTCCTCCACAGAGATTCTAAACAGTGCTCAAGAGTTGCCAAAAAAAGGACATACTAAGAAAACAGAGTGTGCATGGCTCTGAGCCTTCTACTCATTGAATCATACTAGCCCCAAAGTTATCTGTTTATATAGTAAAGTTCTGTATAATATTTCACTTGGAAAAGAAAGATTTCACTGTAAGAAAAACACACACAAAACTTGTAACTACTGATCTACCTAATTGGCATAATTTTCTTGTAAGTTTTAGAAGGTTCTCCAATGCTTTGTTTTGCTGGCTCACATATTAAAAACTGTAAAACTCCCTCACAGCCTGTTTTGTTACCCTCTTTCCTGCCTTGCCTTGATAGCCATGAGCACTCTGATAATCTCAGGCCCAGGAAAGAGTTTGTGATGGTGTGGCTCACTATATATTTTTATTTCATAGAAATAAAAAGGTCTTGGACCTTTGTGACATGAAGGTAAAAAATACAGGATGGGACATCTGTCCTTTTAGCTCAGAGCTCTACACCACATACAACAGTCCTAACCTTTTTGGGCATATGGCACAAAGCTTCTATTGCCCAAAAAGAAAGTTTCTGACTTAAATCATAGATGGAAATAAAGATCCTTTAGCATTTTAAGCATATGACTTTTAAGTAATATGAATGAAAAATTTACATGTCACTCACATTCCAGAGTGAATTACCATCCAAAGCGTGGTAATTATTAGTGTCCTCTAAGTTTCTGATACCTACTTTTGTTTTTTGTGAGTTTCTAAGAAATGACTTTTTCTTAAAAAAATAGTTGCTTTCCTGTCTCTGGGACTAAGTTAGCAGAATATAGAAAACTCCAGTTGCCTTTTCTTATTCACCAGCCCAGCCTTTGTTCAAAGTTTCAGATTGGGTTAACAGCTATAAATAACTTTATGAAAGACTATCAAGGATAAACTTTATCCCCTCCTATAAAAGAATGCCATCTGTGGGAATCCAGGTTCCTGTTACCTCCTTCCCAAGAATCTGAGGAATTTTAGGTTCTCAGTATAGAATGAAATAGGAAGGGATGGGAATAATCTCTGAAATCAAATGTAAAAATATTTTACTTTATAGGTTTGTCAGCTGTGAACACACCTATTTCCAGAGAGTATTGTCCATGAGGTGAGTCACTCCATTGCTAAAATACAACCTACCATACAAAAAGTCGCTGATACTATTAGTAAAGGGGAAAAAACACAGTCTCCATGAGTAGTAGCAAGGTCATCCATGCTCCCACATTCAGCTCCACTAGAACTATTACATGTCACCACCAAACGGCATACTAACCCAAGATCTAATCCAACACTAAATACCAAGAAGCTAGAAATGAGATGACTCTCAGAAAGTCTCAGTCCAGACTTGCAATCTCCAGCAAAAGGAGACAAAAAACAATGAAAGAAGGCATAGAAACAGTTAAAAGAATAAATTATCATGTAAATAAATACAGGCAGAAATTGGGTTGCTTATTAGAAGTTCCTATCCTCCTTCCCTAGCTCTCCCAAAGGATAAGTGAAAAAACTGGCTGCAATAAAAGTGAGCCCTAAAAAGGGCCACCTGATCCCCTATAACTCAGAATAGTCCAGTGACAGATTCTTTATTAGAGCTTTGGTTAAGGCCAACTCTTTCCTAAAATAAGATCTATTTAAAAATTGGATTGTTGGATGTGGGTGATGAATACATGGGGCTCACTGTACCATTCTCTCTGCTTTTTTTGTATTTACAAATTCCATTAAACAAGTTAAAAATCATATACAATAACATTATGTCCACAAATAAATTTGTACACCAATATTCACAGCACCATATTCATAATAGCCAAAAAGGAAAAACAACTCGAATGTTATCCGTCCATTCATCGCTAATGACTGGATAAACAAAATACCTACAATGAAATATTATCGGCAATAAAAAGGAATGACTGAACCTTGAAAAACTGTTATGCTGCCCCAGCTGGGGGACTCGGTTGGAGCATCATCCCTGCACCAAAAGGTTTTGTGTTTGATTCCGGATCAGGGCACAAAGCTAGGTTGTGGGTTCAATCTCGATCCGGACACGTACAGAAGGCAACCAATCGATGTTCCTCTTTCACATCAACGTTTCTCTCTCACCCTTCCTCTCTTTCTAAAAAATCAATGAGAAAACATATCCTCAGGTGAGAATTAAAAAAAAATAATAATGAGAAAAACTGCTATGCTAAGTGAAAGAAGCCAGTCACAAAGGACCATATGTTATATGATTCTACTTATATGAAATATCCAGAATGGGCAAATCCATAGAGTTGGAGAGTAGATTAGTGATAGGCTAGGGCAGAGGGTATGGAGAACTAATAGCTAAGGATGCAGATAATAAAAATGTTCTAAAATTAATCATAGTGGTGTGAATGCACAACTCTGTGAATATACAAAAAGTCACTGAATTGGATGCTTTAAATGGGTGAACTGTATGGTACATGAATTATGGCTCAATAAAGCTGTTAAAAAAAGTCCTTCAGAGCCCAAACTTTCCATTCTTTTATTTTGCTGATTCCCTAAAATGCCTGAAGAAAGATGTTTGCTTCTGTCTTTTCCCTATGGCAAATCAGAGGGAGGGGGAATCCTACTCCTTCAATGTATGTCAGGGCAAGGAAGAGTCAGGGTATAATAATTCCAAGAATGGAACTTACAATGTGCAGAACTTACAATGTGTAGTGATAACTACATCCGCATGTCTTTAGAAACTGTCTTCACACAACTTGATCATGTTCCCTTTTCAGAATAAGTTACAGTCCTACATACAGAGCTGCCAAGGTGAGGATACTGATAACCCTGGCAATCTGGCTGTAACCCAAACCTGATATAAAATTTAACAGATTCAATAAGGGAAAAGAAATAATTCTGGGATCTCAGGAAAAAAATAAACAAAAACCTACATACAAAGGATGAATATGAACTGCTTCATTAGCTAAAAATTGGACTCACTTTCAGGAGACATTCTGAGAATGCCAACAGTCCCATGTCCTGGTTCTAGTGGACAGTAATTATCCACAAACCCTATTGAGCAAGAGTGCAGGAGGTAAAAAGTCAAAAGAATGGCCTCCTTTTAGAACTTTAATACCACTTTCTCTAAAATAGACTTGTTTCTCTAAAATATATAATTCTGAAAAGATTACTGCCCCAAATCCCTAAGAGGAAAATTTTAATTTTTATAATTAAAAAGCAGAAAATTGGCTATCTGAAGAACACATGCATAATGAAGTTCATGGAAAGGGAGGTGACACCTTAGGCCTAACAAGAGGAAATGCTAAAGTTACCTCAAAACCTCAGCAAGGAAGGAAGACTATCACACGATGTACCACCCACTCACAATGCCTACTCAGTCATCTCCTAAAATAGAAACAGCAGAGGGGCAAGGGCTGTTTTCTCAATTAAGTGATATAGTCACATACCCTGAAGCCCTATCTTCAGAAGCTTCAGTGTTATATGACACTGGACTGGACTGCCTTGCTTCAATGCATCAAATAGCCACTGGAGTTTTGAAATAAATATTACCAAAGGGCAACACTGGTCCTCAGACTTCCTGCCAGCTGTCCCTCACCTGCCTGCCTATGCTCTGTGTACCACTACATGGAAGTATTAGTTTGAAAGAACAGTACATTGATTTATTGCTACTGCTAATCATTTGTGAAAATTCCCAATGTGCTGAGCAGAGACCATCACAGACATGGTTCTCAGATCTCAGGTAAACTGAGTGGTTTCCCTGTACTGTCCTTACTTTTTTACTATTGTGAGGTGAAAAACATCTAATGTGATTATTTACTTCCCATACATAGTTAAGTTCCTAGCACCTGAGATCTATATTTAGTACTCTGTAGGGTGTGTTTGCCCTTCCACAACACTTAATAGCTGTAAAATAGTAACATTTTTAAAGATCCTTAACTTTCTATTAATGCTTATGTATTTAATATAGATATGTTACACATGAATTTATCTAAACACTTTCTGAATCTATAGTTCAGCCTGGATAAGCAGAACAATAACACTATTAGAAGATTTCCTATTTTGTCCAGAACTTTCCTTTTGAGGAAGGGACCCCTAGTATCAGTATCTTAGAATTCATATCATCTCAACTATTTTTTTAAAAAATATATATCTTTATTGATTTCAGAGAGAGGAATGGAGAGGGAGGGAGGGAGAGAGAGACAGAAACATCAATGATGAGAGAGTCATTGATCGGCTGCCTCCTACAAGCCCCTCACTGGGGATCAAGCCCACAACCGGGGCATCTGCCCTGACCGGGAATTGAACCAAGATCTCCTGGATCCTAGGTTGATGCTCAGTCACTGAGCCACGCCCAGCCGGGCTCAACTATTTTTAATTTGGAGGACTCTGTTTATGTTCCCTCAGCCATCCCCTTTCCAGTTGGACCAGGATGACCTTTAAAGTATTTTCTTCTATATAATTCTTTCAGCAACAGTGTCTACATAAATATACTCTTCCCAACTCACAAAGTCTTTTCCAATGTTATACTTTGTACTGGATATCAAGCATCACTCTTTCAAATATACCGTTCAGAAGACAACATTTCTATCTTCAACCACTATTATAGCCCTGCCTCAGATGAAGCCCACCTGTCCATGTCTTCCAGATTATCCACTGGTGAACCCAATCTATCACTAAGCCGCCGTCGTTCTGGTATGCCGACACAGAAGCGGTCATTGCCAACAGTGATCCTTAAGCTCTGTTCCAAAGAAGGGTCAGAACGCAGACCAGGAGAGCGTCTCTACAAAAGCAAAAGATAATAGTTAATAGGTCAAGACATCCCTTTTGGAAAGAACCCAAAAATGTTCTTCCTAGTCATAAAGCTGTGGTCCAACAAGGTGAGAAATGGCTACAGTAAGATACTACTCCAAAAATAGAGCACTTTTAAAAAAATTATCATTTTCTTAGATGAAAGCCCACACTTCCAACCCTCCCAATCCGTGACCTCTAATTCTTTCACTTACTGGTACTGGGCATGAGGCTAGAGAAGTGAATAAATTCTGCTCTCAGAACCTATACATTTCTAGTGAAGGAGGCAAGGCAAAAACAGTTGAAAAGGAATTCTGATAGTAAGTGCTATAAAGTCATTAAAACATAACACAAAAGACATTAGAAGAAAAGGACCTACTCACAGGATAGTTAGAGGATTTTCTGAGGTGATACCATTCAACCCGAGGCCTGAATGATAAGATGCCAGTCTTACAAAGAACAGATGGAGGGATGTTTCAGGCAAAAAGAATGAGCTCTGTAATGAGCTTACTATGTTTTGGGTAACAACAGAAAGGGGACGACTGTGACTACATAAGAGTGACAGAAGAGATGATAGGCAGAAACAAGTTATGAAATTTGGATTTTATTCTTGTTGTTAATCCTCACCGAAGGATTTTTTTTTTCCATTGATTTTTTTTTTTATAGAGGGTGAAAGGGAGGGGGAGGAAGGGAGAAACATCAATGTGAGCCAGACACATCGATTGGTTGACTCCCGAACTCACCCTGATGGGGTCAGGGATCAAACCTGCAACCCAGGTACATTCCCTTGACCGGTAATCGAACCCGAGACCCTTCGGTTTGCAGGCAAATGCTCTAACCACTGAGTCATATCAGCCAGGGCTGGATTTTATTCTTTAAAATAAGCCACAGAAGAGTTTCAAGCAGGAAAGGGAAATGATCTGACTACCTTCTTCCTCCAGATGCTCACACTGCTCATACCCTCATTTCCTTCAGGTCTTTACTAAAAAGTCACCTTACCAGAGCCCTTCCCTGGCTACCCTATCAAATATTATAACTCCTGCCCTGACTGGTATTTCTCAGTGGTTAGAGCATTGGCCTGTGCACTGGAGGGTCATGAGTTTGATTCCTAGTCAAGGGCACATACCTGGGTTGTTGTAGGTCCAATCCCTGCCCCAAGTCAGGCATGTGTGGGAGGCAACCAATCAATGTGTCTCTCTCACATCGATGGTTCTCTCTCTCTCCCCCTCCCCACTCCCTTACATTCTCTCAAAAAAATCAATGGAAAAAATATCCTCACTCCTGGGATGAGGATTTAAAAAAACCCTGTAACTCCCTTCTCTGTTTTCTTAGGCATTTCACATGCCAAACATTTTACTTCTCTATTTTATTATCCAGCTCCCTCTGATAGAATATAAGCTCTACCAAGGCAGTTTTTAACTGGTTTGCTCACTGTTATGCCCCCAGTACCCAGAACGGCACCTAAAATATGGTAGATGTTCAATAAATACTTCTCAAATGTATAAAAGAAAGTTTTAAAAACCATGTTGATTGTTGGGCACAGAATAAACTGGAAGGTAACAAGAGTGGAGTGTAAAGGACCTAATGTAATAAGCCAGGCAAGACACAGTAGGGTTTAGAAGAGCATGATGGCAAAAGGACAGTTTGGGGGAATATATTTTGGAGGTAGAGGGGACAAGTTAGACAGACGAAGTTAATATGACAGATTAAGCTTGGGAGAAGGGAGATAATCACTGTTTTGGCTGAGCAATGGGTAATGTCACTGAGACATAAAAGGCTGGAGCAAAAAGGTTGTGCATTGGAGAAGAAAAGGGCAGTTTGGAAACGTGTTCTGTAATAACTAACACTCAGACTATATAGCTGCTGATCTATGAAAATCTTAATTTAGTGACAAGTCAATTCACCCATGATCAGAGTATCCAGAGCATACAGTTAGAGCCCTTCAAGAAAACAGAAACTTTGTCACGGGGTTTTCAAAATAAAATCCAAACCCAAAACACCAGACCCTACCCAGAGGCTCTACTAAGAGTGATGCTTATGGTGAGAGATCAATTATTATGTCTAAACTATTATGCCTTGTTCCTCTAGCAGGGAAATACAACGGTAAAAATCATGGGTGCCTCGGAGCCAGGCAGACATGCATTGAATCACAGCATCACCACTTCTTAACTGTGTGACCTTGATTAAGTTACTTAAACATCTCTGGGTTCCTCAGCTGATCTTTAATAGAGAATACTTTTAAATGCCTCACCTCAAAAGGTTGTTCATGTTCAAAGAGAATGTGTAAAGTGAAAGGCTAAGCCCAATTCCTGCCACATAACTCAGTTAAGTGATAGTAGTTATCACAAAGACTGTGGGTGAGTATGCACACTTCACTTCGGAGAAGCAGCTCCAATTTAAATAGCCAACGATTTACACTCTAGGTGTCTACCTGGGCAGTTTAAGCAACCCTAACTCGCCACGAAGACATTTCAGCATCTTTTCTGCGATGGGGGGGT